CAGGTGATGCTGATGCTGCTAACCTGGGAACACTGGAGAATCACGTGTTAGAGAATCTCACATGCCAGCAGTCGAGAACTGTGTATGAAAGTCATTTCACCAAAGACTAAACAAGGACAGCAGCCTTAACCTGGTTTACGCACATGGATGCAATACCATTTCTCCATCAAGTCTTCCCCTTTCCTATCCCTCATCCTTCATCAGGGACAGACAGAACCTTGAATCTCAGAAGCAAGCTTGATGTGTGTGTGACATGTCAGTGAGTCACTCAACAGGTTTTGAACAGCTAAATTCCCTAAGGCTAGAACACCCCTAGGGAAAGTGGTCAGGCTCATCATCTGGATATTAGCCTACTGAAAGAGAAGCCCTGCAACGAAACGGCAGGGAACTATAACCTTAAATTACTCTGGTGCTTTGGCCCAGCTTCCCATTTGGGGAGAAGAGGCTACTGCCGGTAGGAGGCAAGGAAACAACTGGGCTGTAAGAGCCTCCACAGCATTCAGCAAGTCCTTTATCCATAAAAATGCCTGGGGATTTCTCTTGTGTCCTAAAGCCACTGGGCGCTAACTGAGCAGTAGACTGGGGAGGAAAGGCAGGATGTCCAACATGTTTAGTTGGTTAGAGCATCATCCCAATACACCAAGGTTGCAGTTTGATCCCTGGTCAGGGAACATACAAAAATCAACCACTGACTTGGAGTGGTGAACACACAGTAGTGTACAGATGACATATCGCAGAATTGTGCACCTGAAACCTATGTAATTTTGTTAACCAGTGTCACCCCTATAAATTCAATAGAAAAAAATCAAGCAAAAAATGTATAAAGTAGAACAAAAAAAATCAGTGTCTAAAATCATTTAAAAAATAAAACAGAGAAAGCTGTGCGGTTTCCTGGGGCAAAATGTAAAACAAAACCGTCTCTGGGCCTTGATCACTATAAGAAGGCCAAGTCTTTTTACGAGGGGCTATGATAGGTCATTCTTGGCTTCAGCTTTCTGGTCTCAGCTGTAGAGACACCGTGAGAAAAGGCTGCTGGAGGGAAGGGTGCCTGCTCGGAGAGGAGGAGAGGGTCCTTGGAAACAGTCTGCAGCTGGCAGATTCCACAAGAGCCCCTACAGCTGATGCTCCAGATAGTGAGGACGAAGCAGACAGCAAAGGCAGTGGTGACACTATTAAAGGAAAAAAAGCCTTCCATCAGGCCCTGCCGCCCACGTCTTCCTCTATGACGGGGCTTACCACAGTCCCACTTCCCATGAGGACTCAGTTTTAAAGCTGTGCACAAGGAGACAAAAAAATCACATCTAGGTTTATAGGCATTTAATAGTTTACCAATTGGTACAATAAGATTTTTTAATATGCAGAAAACATGAATAAATTTTTGTTTTACACAGTCTGAGAGCAACAAATCTTACTGTAAAACACAAGAGCAATATTATATACATTCCTTTACTGATTTTTTAAAATTGTGTCAACATCTTCAGTTAACTCTTACAATCTGGGGAACTGTTTTCTCCAAACACCACTTCTGCAACGTTTATGAAATCAATGCTTGCGTTCGTGTCAGTGTCGGTCAGAATCAACTTCTAACCCGAAGATTTTGTGTTTGTTTTTGTCATCTTCAGAGTGAGCTTTTGGGATGACGGAAGGATAGGCAGGACAAGAAAGCAGCTACTTACATGATAATAGTGTAAAGATAAAAAGGCCAGTTCAGTCCAGTCGTGACTTGTAAATCCAGCTTGCCCTCCCCCCACCCCACTGGAAAAAAACAAAAACAAAAAAGCCCTTTCCACCAATTTTGTACATGTTGCTTCTCTACCAGGAGAGTCTTCTTTGCATCATCTCGATTAACACACTGGATTTATATACAGCTGGACAGAAAGAGGAACCATTTTAAGTGCCTTGTCCTTCAATCCAACACTTTTAACGTCAGTTGCTTAAGGATTATCAAGCCACCACTGTCAACAAACAAAATATCCTTTACTTTTAAATAGTTTTTCTTTAAATAAATTTACAAAAAACTATTTAATGAGTGATTATTACCTGGAAGTTCACACAGAAACAGAAAGAGGCAAACAGGAGAGCAGGGCACTGACAGTAAGGAGACTGGGCTTGGTGATCTAGAGCCAAAGCTTCCAAAGACTACAGTGAGCGCCCCATGGCCCGGACGACTTGCTAACACTAGTGATTTTAGAGCAGTGCTCTGGGCACACCATTGGTCACACCACACATGGACGAAACTGGACGGTCTTAGTCTCCTAAAGTGCAAGATGCCATGTCAAAAAGCAACTATTCTCCAAGTGATGTCTAAACCAGTTTCCGTGGCTTGCACTTCCAAGAGTGCAGCGAGGACTTCTTGGGCACGTTATATTAGGGTGGCACTGGAATGTCTTTTCACACAGACACAAGTCAATAATCATCTGAGGATGCGATTCTACCAGCTTTTTATTTCATAAATAAATGGCCAATTTGATTGAGAAAGTGACAAAGCAGCAGTGAACCTCGAAACCAATTAATAAATTCCTCTACTTACAATCCAAACCAGTAACCTCATCATTGTACTTATCCCAGGCAAGGCACAGGGTTAGACAGCAGACAGAGAAAACGGGAAGAAAGGGCATCAACAGGGCAGTTTCAAACAACAGTACAGGAAACCTCTGAAAATCAGATTCTGGATGGATCACTCTCCCCCACCCCTCATTATTCAAACAGGGCTCCTTACATTTGGATCCAGTTGAGGACCATCCCTGAGATTCAATGTTCGCTGCTTCTTAAATGGAGGATGTCTGGTAATTCAACTAAGCAGCAGGCTGTGGCAATCTCCCAAGGAAGGAAACTTTGTTTACAGAGTAACGTCCCTCCTTCTTTGTCAACAGAGTCACTGTGTGCTGCGGGAGAACCCAGTGGACAGCAGCTTTGTTTCCTCCTAAATCGGTACCATTTTTCCTTTATTGTTTGTATCTATGAATGATTTCTAGATGTTGTGGCTTACCCTTCAACAATTTGTGTTGCTACATGCTAAAAATGAATTAAAATACAAGACATTTATACATGTACAAACAAATGTTAAGATGCACCATTTCTAGGTATATTTCTTAAAACAGGACAAGAAATAGCAGCAAACAAGAACAAAGATATTTTCCATAGCTTTTGTAGAAAAATCCAGTCAGAACAGCTAAGGAGAAAACAAACAAACAAACAAAAAAAGACTTCTCAGTGTGAGCAGGGTTGTGAGGCAGTATTGTCCTGAAAGTTATTCTACTGAGTTTAAGAAATTAGCTTAAGTTGTAATTTTTGTCCTCAAAAATACTTTTCCTTCCAGAGAGGTCTTTCAGGAATTAAAAACAAATAAGCAAACAAACAAAAATACACAAGCTAGACATAAAACTTTTAGTAAATATACGATCTATTCTCTGTGTATCTACAGGACATTAATTCTAACCCTTTGTCTTTTCCAGAAACCAAATTACCATTAAATACTAAAAGGAACGTTTTAAAAACCACATTAAACAAATGAATAAAATGAAATTCAGAATAAATTTCTTTGTTAAACTGTTTTGTTATTTCATTAACTTTTCAAATAACCATTAAAAAAAAAACCTGGTTAGCTAAGCAATAAAATTTTTTTAATAATTTGTAATGGAATATTATTTCCAAAGTCATAGACAAAAATTCTCTTAAATGTACTTGTAGTAACTTTGGATCACAATACACAATGTATCAGGGAAATGTAAAATGCTGAACTGCCAAATTGGGGGTAGAGGCAGATAATGGAAGTTATTTTTTAAAAATATATATTTTTATTGATTTCAGAGAGAAAGGAAGAGGGAGACAGAAACATCAATGATGAGAGGGAATCACTGATCGGCTGCCTCCTGCATGCCCCACACAGGGGATCGAGCCCGCAACCAGGGCATGTGCCCTGACCTGGAATCAAACCTGGGTGGACCCCCTGGTTCATAGGTCGAGGCCCAACCACTGAGCCACACTGGCTAGGCAGAAGTGATTTTCCTGTGAGTGGGAAAAATTCCCATAGACTCAGACCTAGTTTTCAGAAGCGTTAAGATCAAAAAGGGTTTATTCTAAAGCATGGTATTCCACAGCAAGATTTATTCTATTTGTGTATTTTAGCACTTCTTCAAAAACCCAGGGCCCAAGGACATGGAGGTTGTATGTGTGTGATATACATATACAGACTTATCCACTTAATAGATAGGTCCATATGCTTATAAACATTTATATATAAACAAAAGGTGAAAACACAGTACATTTTATGCACGCTCCATTAAACCCTGTCATTTTTAACTTGCAAGTTAAACACAGTTCAAATTGGTCAGATTCCTGTTGAAAAACAAAACTGCTATATTTCTCCCTCTCCCTTAAAATGAGCATACATAAGCTTTTCAATCTTTCTGTCATTATGTAATGCACATTGCACATCTCTAAAAAACATCAAAAATGAATAGTGATTTGTATCATGACACACTCAATGGGAAGATTAAATTCTACTTGGAAGTCATATCACTACACAGTCTAGTAGTATGGAGAATACAACTAGAAGTGTGTTTAATGTGGAGAATAGAAGCTTACAGTATTACAGTATTTTTTAATCTGCTTACAAAGCATTAAGACCCAAATGAAATAAATGATTTGCTATTAGCTGCTGAAATTTTTCTTATTTGAGATTTACACTCATTTTCTTACATAAATATACCACTAGCCTTTGCTTGATAGGCTGCCAAAACAAATGTATCCTATTGATTTGGCAAATGTGTCATGACAAAAATTCCATGTGTAATCCTCAATAATTACATAGATGGTTCAGAAGATTTTGAATTGTAGCCTTATTATCTAACATCCTTAAAGATTTATTAAGCACACTTAAGTGATGTTACATAAATACACATTTCAGAAAAAAACCCCTAATAACCACCGCTTTCCCCCAAATGAGGCCATTAAGTCAGGCACCAACAGATAGCAGAAAGAAAAACAGGAATTAATAATCCAACATAAAATGACACTGTCAATTTATTCAGCTTAGTGCCCTAGTTCAATTATTCAATTTCTGCCTTCTTAGGCCTGGTGTGACCAATGCCAGCCCAGGTTTTTAAACCCTATGGTACTTCTAGACAACGTATGTAAATTTACAGTATACAATTTGGATTCACCATGCATGAATACTTTGTGTGTAACATTTAATAAGCTCAATCTACATCCAGAATAATTTACATGAAAGGACAATATTTATTTAAACAGAGCTCAATAGGGTAACCATGGTATCATCAGAGTGCATCCAGAGGAAAATCAGGAGGAGGGGCCAAAAGAGACTCAATCAACGGCACTCCCACACCTTCACTGTTTGATCTACACTGCCAGTAACCACATATGGTGCCGTCTTATGGAAATCTGAAAGAAAAAGAAAAGGCTTTTGTAAAATCAGGTTCAAACAGATAAAATTTTTAGTAAGCCACAACACACGCAAGTCCAAGGGCCAGGAATACCTACTTTTTTCTATACACATCCACACATCCACCCTTGGAAAGTATCAACTAGATTAGGGAAACTAAGGCTTAATGATTAAAACCTGTTATTACCAACCTCAAAAAAATACCCAAACCTACCTCCACTACCACCATCCCAAATGAAGCTGAATAAACACTCAAATCTACAAGGATAACCTATGTATCCATTTACTGAACATATACTATGTTCCAAGCTAAATACTAATGGTTTATATTCAATTCATGTTAAATCCTTGTAACCATCTTGTGACGTGGATTCGCCCTATTGTGCTGAGGCCTTGCCTTCACCATTAGATCCATCATACTCTAATGTATTATATTTTACTGTATTCACTTTCTTCACTTCTAGAATCAGGTCCAGATGATAGTAAAGATGCTTATTAGCCCAGCCAGCGTGGCTCAGTGGGTGAGCGTTGACCTATGAAACAGGGGGTCACAGTTGGAGATTGCTGGTTAGGGCACATGCCTGGGTTGCAGGCGCGATCCCCAGTGGGGGCTTGCAGAAGGCAGCCAATTAATGATTCTCATCACTGATGTTTCCATCTCTATCTCCCTCTCCCTACCTCTCTGAAATCAATAACACACCCACACACACACACACACACACACAGAGGCCCAGTGCACGAAATTCGAACATGGGTGGGGTCCCTAGTGGCTGGCGGTTGGGGCCTCCCTTCCCCTGTGCCAGCTATCAGTGCACATCACAGCAAGCAATTGAACTCCCAGTTGGTAGAACTCCCGAGGAGACACTTTGCATATTAGGCTTTTTATTTTAAATGTATTTTATTGATTTTCTACAGAGAGGAAGGGAAACAGATAGTTAGAAACATCAATGAGAGAGAAACATCGATCAGCTGCCTCCTGCACATCTCCTACTGGGGATGTGCCCGCAACCCAGGTACATGCCCTTGACGGGAATTGAACCTGGGACCTTTCAGTCCTCAGGCCGACGCTCTATCCACTGAGCCAAACCAGTTTCGGCAAGGCTTTTATATATATAGATATTTTAAAAGATGCTTATTAAACTTAAATAGCATTCCCTGAGTTTCTAGTACATGATAACTTATAACTGCCAGAAGAAAAGGGCTGAGTAATATTTCCTTTGAGAAATTTAAAACTAGTAGGAGAGAAAAATTACGTATTAGAGTCATCAGTAAGCATCCTCTTCAAAATTCTAGTTTCCAGAACCAAAACTGTGCAATGAAGAAAGTAATTTTTGTATTATAAGGTTGACAATGGCGAGAGAGAATTAAGGAAAGGAGAATTTAAAACAAATGACAGGAATCCACTACGTTTTTAATCTAATCTGACCTAAAAGCCATGGTCATTTCTTACCTGGGAAAGTCCACATGGTTATTACATAAAACTTCTTACACCTGGCACTCCAAAATCTATCTGCTCAATAAACCTCATAACTCATACATACCCAAGGAGGTAACAAAGTGTTCATGCGCATTGAGGGTCTTCATGCATCGTTTGTTCTTATAATCCCATACACGTAGGGTTTTGTCATCAGCACAACTCAAAATAAACTTGCCCCCAGAATGGAACAGAACTCCACGTACCCAGTTATCATGACCCACCTTAAAAACAGAAAGGTATTTGACTTAGTGAAGGGATAAATTACTTAAACAGCATCCGTGAAAATACTAAGTCATATCTATGAAAATACTAAGTCGTTACTCAAAGCCCACTTAAACTACACGCACACACACATTAAAAAAAGCCAAAAACAGACAAACAGAAAAAAAAAAAGGTCTAGGGAATTCTTCTAGATTAAAAAAACAAGTGGAAACTAACAAGTAAATGCAATGAGTGATGCTTGACTGACTCCTAGAGGCAAAATAAAGTTATAAAGAACACTACTGGGATAATTGGAGAAATTATTAGTACATTAATGGTAAATTTCTTGAGTGTGATAATTGTATTGTGGTTAATGGTAGAATACCCTTGTTCTTAGGAGACACATGTTGTCATGTCTACAAGTCAAGTAACTCAAATTGTTCAAAAAATGTAAACATACACACACAGAGAAAAAATGTTAAAAACTGGTGACTGTAGGTGAAGGGTATACAGTCACCCGTATATCTATTCACCCATCCACCTAATCCCCGTCGCAGCATTTCCATTTCTTTCAATTTAGCCTAAGAAATAATTAAAACCAGGCCCAGAGATTTAGTTAACAAAGATGTTCATCAAGACACTGCATGTAATTACTGTACAGTGTATCTAATGACATGAGCAAGTGTCATATACCTTCTAAATTAAGTTTGCTACAAAACAAAAACAAAGTCTGCTAAAAGCAGTATGTACAAGCATAACATTTTAATTTAAAAAACACCACCACATTCATCTACAGAATAATGTAAGAAAATATCACATGGGGCTATTTAAATATAAACCAAAATTAAATCAATTAATTCACTTCTTCAGTCTCACTAGCCACGTTTCATTAGCTCATTAGCTGCATGAGGCTAGTACAGTTACACTATTGGACAGTGCAGATAAAAAAGACAACCAAGATGACATGTCCTTTGCTTTGGTTTACTCTGCTTTTGCCCTTATTTATAAAACTTTATTCTCTTATAGTAAAGCCACCAATCACTAGAGGTAGAAGCCTCAACAAAAGTCAAATCACATTTCGTTGCTTGCACCAAAATAAAGCAGAAAAGATACACCCCTCCCCCTACCTGCAACTGAAAAATAGGAGCCAGAAACTTCCAGGGGAATTAATAGTGACCTGTGTTGTTACAGAAGAGGAGAGCACATGCTTTTAATTTTAAATGTGGACCACCTTTTCTAACAGCAATATTGTATATCAGAACTTGGCTCAGAACACTACTAGAGGAGAGTTTAAATTTCTAATTAATTCTTGATGATACTTCCATGTGTTTATCATAAACTTCAAAGTATTGTTAGCACCTAAGGAATCTCTAAAACTAACACAGCTATTTTATCAAATTACAAAAACTGCTTCTTGGATTAATGTCCACAGATCCTCTTGGAAATCTCTTAGGCAAACAGGAATGTCCACAATCCTGTACTATCATATATATATATCCTCATACTGAAATCTAGGTTTCAATGGGAGAAAAAAGGGGACATATGTAATACTTTCAACAAGAATTACTAAAAAAATTTAAAAAGTGAGCCATAAAAAACAACAAAAAACTTAAAAATAGAAAAGGAAAGAAAACAAAGAAGTAGTGAGGTTATTCAAACTTACAAGGGTCATAAGGCACATGCCAGTACTGACATCCCACATCTTAATAGTCTTGTCTCTGGATCCAGATAGCAAGAATGGCCCAGGCTTGCCACTTTTTTTAGTCTATATAAAACATAAAAATTAAGTTTCCCATGCAAGAAGTTACATAAGGACTTTAAATGACTTTTATCTATTAATGATCTATATTTCCAATTTTATAAAAATGATTTTTTTAACAAATAAAAATTGGTAAGAAGACTTAAGAACTACCTCCTTAACAAATTTCCAGTATGCTGTACAGTACATCTCCAGACTTATTCATCTTGTTTTACTGTATCAAAATGGACAAGTTTTGTCCTGGCTGGTGTAACTCAGTTGGTTGGAGCATCATCCTGTGCACCGAAAAGTTGCTAGTTCGACCCCCCACGGGAGGCAATCGAAGGATGTTTCTCTCATACATTAATGTATGTTTCTCTCTCTCTCTCTCTCTCTCTCTCTCTCTCCTCTTTCTCCTCTAAAATCAGTAAAACATACCCTCAGGTGAGGATTAAAAAAACAAAACAAAAAAAAGCACACATCTTTTAACCTACAGAGGCTACATAGGAAGGACCCAGATAATATAAATATTGATGTTTCTCTCTCTTCCTTCCTCTTCTCTCTCAAACCAATAAAAACTTAAAAATTTAGTTTCTACAATATCAAGATGATAAACTTAATGTTCAAGAAATCTGTAATCAAGAAGGATCTTACAACTATACAATCAAATTAATGACATATTGTATGTACCTACCACCAGAGGGCAGTAAAAAGAATTCGAAATGCAACCAGCCAGCCAAAACAGAGATTACAATAGAAGCTCCATTTAGAAATACAATGGAGAAAGGGTGGGGGAGAGGAAAGATTCTCCTCCTTCACTTGTTTGTTTGTTTTTAATGTATTTTATTAATTTTTTTACAGAGAGGAAGGGAGAGGGGTAGTTAGAAACATCGATGAGAGAAAATCATCGATCAGCTGCCTCCTGCACACCCCGCACTGGGGATGTACCCTGCAACCAAGGTACATGTCCTTGACCGGAATCGAACCTGGACCCTTCAGTCCACAGGCCGATGCTCTATCCACTGAGCCAAACTGGTTTGGGCCCTTCACTTGTTAAAATGTAATTTTTAAAAATCCACAACAGTGCCCTGGTTGGTGTGGCTTAACACATTGTATGCGGGAAACGTATTAATACGTTTTACGTTGACTGTAGTAGTAGAGCGCGGGACACGTATTAATACGTTTTTTATAGACTACCGGTAGAATGCGGGTAACGTATAAATACGCAAACTAAAGTTATCGTAATTTTACTGAACGTTGCCATTTGCACAAAAAACTAGCAAAAATGGCCCACGCCACCTGTTAGCGCACGATAAAAACTACCTGCAAACAATGTGTTAATTGGTTGAGCATTGTCCTGTGCACCCACCGAAAAAGATTGCCAGTGCATTACCTGGTCAGGGCACATACCCAGTTTGCAGGCTATCTGGGTCGGGGTGCTTTTGGAAGGCAACTGATTGATGTTTGTCTCACATTGATCTCTCTCTCTAAGGAAAAAATCTGTAATAGAAAAGTCTGATCAAGGGTATCAGAGACCTCCATATGAAATATTCTTCATTTAAACAAATACTTTTAAAAAATATATTTTTATTGATTTCAAAGAGAAAGGGAGAGGGAGTGAGAAATATTAAACTGCATTTCACCAAAAATTATTTGTAAATAAAATAATTATGTCCATTAAAAAAGGTGATTTTTCTAAAAGATAACTTTAACCTCTCCATAAGTTTTATTCTGCACTGGTATACACTTAAAACAATGGCATTTCTAATAACCTGAATAACCACTTTCCCTCTTTAGGAGAACCCCTACTCCCATTAGACAACACAGGTCAGCTGATAGCATTAATAAAAACTGGCTTAAAAATATAAATACGCCCGGCCACCCTGGCTCAGTGGTTGAGTATTGACCTATTAACCAGGAGGTCATGGTTCGATTCCTGGTCAGGGCACATGTCTGGTTGTAGGTTCAATCCCTAATAGGGGGCATGCAGGAGGCAGCCAATCGATGACTCTCATCAGTGATGTTTCTATCTCTCTCTCCTTGTCCTTTCCTCGCTGAAATTAATAAAAATATATATTTAAAAAAATTATATCCTACATAATAAAGATGTAATATGCAAATGGTCGTTATGCTGTGAAGTATAATGACTGAGTACGTAATGACCAGATCACGAATCAGCAGGAGGGGGTAGCGAGCTACACGCGGGCGGCAGAGAGCTATAGGAGGGGGCAGGGCAGCAAGCTATGGGGGGGGTGGAAGGTACAGGAGGGCGGGGCAGCGGGCAGAGAGCTACTGGAGGACAGCAGCGAGCTATTGGCGAGCTACTGGCGCACAGATTTGTGTGCAGGGCTACTAGTGTGTGTGTGTGTGCATAAAAACACCTCCAAGTTGAAAAGAGTAAAAAATGATAAGATTCATAATTCTGGAATACAGATTTATAAATGCATTAATGGCTCTGAAATTGAGCATGAGAAAAGTTACCTAAGGTTCTGAGCTATCAGCAATAAAATAAAATCATGAAATGACACATAAATCATAGTTACCTCAGATCCTGTTGCTTCAGAGATGGAAGAATATGAGCTTTCTGGAGCCCAGGAAATGCATTCTACCACATGCTCATGTTCTCGAAGCTCAGCCTTGCATTCCTTTGTTGCTACGACCCATACTCGCACAGTCTGGTCATTGGAACAGCTGGCTATCAGAGTGCCATCCTGATTTGGCCGCACCATACGTACCCACTCTCTATGTCCTGTGAATGTCTTCACACAGTAGCTGTCAAAATAAGTAATAATTTATGTTGTGAATAGTAATCCATTGGGACACTTCCCAGAAGCAATGCAAAAATTACAATGTATACTGGAATGAAGAAAATGACAACAAGTTAGTGAAATCGTATGCAAGTCAACAGAATAAATATACATTCCTGGTTAATAAAAGATGGGGACAGGCTGGAAAGTCAAACATCAGTTAAAATAAGCTTATGGAAGAATCATTAAGGAGCTAACCAAATCAACAAAATCTAAAAAGTAAAATATAGAGAGGAAATCTTTTCAAAATTAAACACACACAATAAACCTAACAAAAATATTTCTAGCCATGTTGGGGGAAAAGCATGCTCTACTAATCTGGGTAAAACCAGTAGGTTAAGGTTCTATTTTAACAATCATGTAATTCTAAGCACAACCAAATTAAACCTAATAGGGGCATACCTGTACAAATGTTATCTACATTTTATTTCAACCCACAGAGAGATAACCTAAAAGAAGACCACAGAGAAAATAAGCCATTACATAGAAGATGGCTTTGAAGGACATAGATTTTCTTTTATAATTTCTCTGTTTTTTGGGGGAAGATACATTTAGATATCAAAACTTAGTTTTAAAGTACATAATAAAATTACCATGATGATCATTATGGGTAAAAGCTAAGATTATTGGAACATTCAGAATACAATTTTGTTTAATATCTCTTTACCAGATATTCACCTAAATCTACTTACCCAGTTTGCACTTCCCACATTTTTATAGTTTTATCTCTTGAAGCAGACACTATATGATCTCCATTGGGCATGATGGCTACTGAAGAAACATTGTGGTCATGGCCTAAAACACATAACACAGCAACATTATTAAATAATATGCCACCAAGAGCAATTAAACCTGTTTACCACAAGATTTCACCATGGGATTTTAAATAACACAGCAACTTTAAATACACTGGGCTTTATTATAAATTTGATTAAAAACTTGGATTTACACAAAAAAGGAACTAGTACCAAAAAAATAATCCACAATAAATAGCCAACTCAATTTATGAATAAATTTCAAACTGTACAACTTTTAAAACCATAAGGTGTCAGTATCATCAGTATCTGAATATGTAAGTGTGGGGCAAAAGAAGGTTTATAGCTGTGAGTATGCAAAACACAGTTTATTCTTGTATTATTCTTTATATATTTTTATTGTTGTTATTTCATTTCCTTATTTATGATTTATCTTTTAGGTAATGATGGCTGGTAATTTAACTTACTTTTGCCCACCCCTGTATTAATACACTGAATGTTTAGTACGAACACTAGGAAAACACACAAATATTTCCACTGTTCATATTCTACGACATAAAATAGAAATAAAGCTAAAAAGACTAGGTAAGAAAAATGGGGATATGATTCTGTATTTAAAATAGTGGTTGAAATTATCTTTTGTTGATATTCATGGTGGTAAAAAATGCATTATTCCATATACATTATTCACAATCCTAACTTATCAGTTATCCTTGAAGGAAAGAGCCCCAGGGAGTCCGCAGATTTTATGAAAGGATTCAACAGAATTCCTCTACTTCGTAAGCCTTGAATGCATTTAATTAGGGAAGAAAACACACTCTTCAAATTACACTCTCTATGTAATCATGTAGCTTACTCAAGTGCCAGCATTTCTGAATAATATGTTTAGAAAAATATTTTATTACTAACACAGTATGTATTCCTTATATAAAATCCAAACATTTAAATTTCATCATGTTTAAAGAAACAAGTCTGGTTGGTGTCGCTCAGTGTTTGAGTTTCAACTCACGGACTAAGAGGTCACTGGTTCCATTCCTGGTCAGGGAACATGCCTGGGTTGTGGGCTCAAGATCCCCAGAGGGGCGTGCAGCAGGCAGCCGATTAGTGTTTCTATCTCTCTATCCCTCTCCCTTCCTCCCTTTCTAAAATCAATAAAAACATATTTTAAACTAAACAAATAAATAATAATAAAAAACCCACAAAGAAACAAAAATCCTTATTTACTGAGCACCTTCTATGTGCCAGGTATTAAACCAAGATACTCAAGTACAGAAAACCTGTTTTATTGTGCTTTACTATACCGTGCCTCACAGATACTGCGTTTTCATCAACATCAAAGAAAGACCCTTCACCAGCAAAATAAATAAATTACAATGCACTAAAAGCTCAGATTGATGAGCAGCACTTTTTAGCAATACGTTTTTTAAAATTAAGGTATGTACACTGAGGTTTTTAAAAATACAGAATACTACTATACACTTGATAGAACTGTGTGGTATAAACACAACTTCTACTATATGTCCTGAAACCAAAATATTCATGACTCACTATATTGTGATATTTGCTTTATTGTGGTGGTCTGGAATTAAATCCACAGTATCTCCAAGGTATGCCTATGTGGTCTCATTTTATCCTCACGACAAGCCTATACAGTGGGGCCTTGACTTATGGGTTTAATTCGTTCCGTGATGGAGCTCATAACTCAATTACTCATATATCAAATCAAAAAGTGAACGAGTCAGACACGTGATGCTGGGCTGATGTTGTGGCGTTCACTGCGATGTTCGCTGCACCAACTAGTGGTGGGGTATCTGAAGCTGGCTCGTAACCCGAATTTTAGCTCACAACTCAAAGCAAAAAATCAGCCGAGAGACGGCTCGCATCTCAAAACACTCGTTAGTCTGGACACTCATAAGTCAAGGCCCCACTGTAACTGAGGTATTATTACCTCTATCTTGCAGATGAAAGAGGTTAAAACTTCCTAATGCCATAAGTAAACAAGTAGGCAATTTAAACCCAGATATCTGATTCCAAAGCTCTTTCCACAAAGCTAAACTGACTCAGAGAACAGTCTCCATGACAAAACCCAGACAACAACCTAACAATAAGACTAGAGTATATGTATATTAAAAAGTGAGCGAGGGAATCTGGATTCCAGCTTTTACTATACCCACTCTCTCAACTTCAGCTTCCCAACAGAGAAAAATGATGTTTTTAAAAAAAAGACATATAAAAACATCCTACTAACAACTTCATTTTCTCAAAAACAGATAGATGTCCTAGCAGTTTTTCTTATTAAAAAATATTTGTGGCCCTAGCCGGTTTGGCTCAGTGAATGGAGCGTCGGCCTGCGGACTAAAGGGTCCCAGGTTTGATTCTGGTCAGGGGCATGTACCTTGGTTGCGGGCACATCCCCAGTAGGGGGTGTGCAGGAGGCAGCTGATTGATGTTTCTCTCTCATTGATGTTTCTAGCTCTCTATTCCTCTCCCTTCCTCTCTGTAAAAAATCAATAAAATATATTTTAAAAAATTTGTGAAAACAATTTTCATACTTTATATGAAATACTTAATTCAATAAGAGATACTTAAAGCATCATAACAAAAACAACTCTCAACTATGGCTTATCCATGGACTATCTAGATCATATAGTCCTTCAACAACACAGACAACTAAGAATTGAATGAAGGGAACCTGCACACGGTTAGAAAACAATATTCTTGCCTTAACTGGTTTGGCTCATTGGATAGAGCGTCGGCCTGCGGACTCAAGGGTCCCAGGTTCAATTTCAGTCAAGGGCATATACCTTGGTTGCTGGCCACATCCCCAGTAGGGGGTGTGAAGGAGGCAGCTGATCGATGCTTCTCTCTCATTGATGTTTCTAACTCTGTATCTCTCTCCCTTCCTCTCTGTAAAAAATCAATACAATATATTAAAAAAGACAAAGACAAAACATAAGCTATATATATATGAAAACAATATTCTTATTTCTGGAATGCCATGTGAGAAATCAGTATCAAATACCACCCTCTATTCCTTACCGTGCATGGTTCTGATGCATTCAAAGCCCTGAAAATCCCATAGTTTAATGGTCATATCTGCAGAACAGGAAGCCAGAAGCTTGCCACTGTGGTCAAATGAAATGTCCTGTACAGAGTCTGTATGCCCCTTAAGAGTTCGTTCAAAATCTCCAGTCTCATAATCCCACACCTGTCACATGAACAAAAAACTGGTTAATATCAACCCATCACTTTGTTTCACATTTGCACTCAGCAGGCTAGTCTGGCACCTTACTAATTAACTGAGAAAGTGACAAAGGGTCACTGTCTTAGAAATTAGCACATCTTCAGTATAAATTGGTCTTTCCTCTAAGAGAGAAAATTGATGGTGCAATTTTTAAAATGGACCTCTAGCACCACATTATCTACCATGCACCTAATTATGCTAGTGATTAAGTATATAAAGCCACAAGACAAAGTCCCTTCCCAATCTGACAGTAGGCAACAGATATGTTAATAAGTAAATTTTAGTACAAAGAGTTTCAGGGGGCTATGATAGGCACTTATATGTAGAATGAAAGTAACAATGAAGGAGTACTCAATTGTACTAGATGAGTGGAATTCAGATATCTAAGAGGCCAAGAAAAGACTTCACATGATGTAACTGTCCATGAAAAGCAGATTAACAAAAGAATGTCATTCTGATGTAAAAAAGTCACAGTCACATATTTTAAAGATAACTTTTCTAAGATAAAGAAATAATGAGCTATCAAGAATAAATATTAGAAACGCATCTCAAGAATATACTGAACTTTCATTCTGGTGGCCAAATGCAAGTGTGAAGTTAATCTTTCACCAATACCAATTATACTGCTCTAAAGTCAAATGATTAATTCCATTTTTCCCGTAATAATTTCAAATTTATCTGTGGTAGGGTATATACCAGCCGTGGGCAAACTACGGCCCGCAGGCCGGATCCGCCCGTTTGAAATGAAAAAAACTAAAAAAAAAAAAAAAAAGACCGTACCCTTTTATGTAATGATGTTTACTTTGAATTTATATTAGTTCACACAAACACTCCATCCATGCTTTTGTTCCGGCCCAGTTTAAGAACCAACCCATTGTGGCCCTCGAGTCAAAAAGTTTGCCCACCCCTGGTATATACCAATCAATATAGAGAAATGTAGAATGGCTAAGGTATAAAATTTGCAACTATAATGAATTTATGACATGCATACAATGTTACATAAAAAAAAAATTACACATGATTATATAAAAAAGAACCTAAGAAAAACTATCTTTGAAAAATATTTGACAGAAAGCTTCTGTACCCTTCCCAATATAAACAAATTTTTTCCATGTAAATGTTTAAGTACTCCTCCTACATGTGTTTAATTTTGTGTAACTTTGTTAGACTTATCCTTAATTGTGGTTTATTGATGATACAATAAGTTGCATCTTTAAATTTCAAATTTCAATTATTCATTGCTAGTTTATAGAAATGCAATTACATTTTGTATATCGACTGTGTATTCTGTTAAATTCAGTCATAGTTCTAGTGGCTTTTTTGTACGCTCTTTGGAATTTTCTACATAGATGGTGTCTGCAAATGAAGTGTTCCATTTCTTTCTTTCAAATCTATATGCCTTTTATTTCTTCTTCTTCCTTAGTGCACTGGCTAGGCACTCCAGTATAAAAGTGTATACAACTGGTTGAGACTGGACATCCTGCCTAGCCTTGGTTTCTGATCTCAGAGGAAAGCATTCAGTTTCCACCAGTAAGTATTAGGACCACTGTAGGTTTTATCAGATACCTTTACCTTTTATCAGGTTACCTCTCCGTCTAGCTTGTTCAGTTTTTCTCATGAATGGATATTGAAATTTTTCAAATGCTTTTTCTGAATCTATTTTTTTTTAAATGTTTTCACTGATTTCAGAGAGAGGAAGAGAGAGAAACATCAGTGAGAGAGGTATTTGTTCGGCTGCCTCCTGCCCCCTAATGGGGATAGAGCCCGTAACCCGGGCATGGGCCTTGACTGAGAATCGAACCTGTGACCTCCTCCTGGTGCACGGGACGAAGCTCAACCAACTGAGTGACACCAGGTGGGCTATTTTTGTTGTTGTTGTATCACATTGATTCATTTTCAAATGTGGAACCATTTCTTGCATACTGGGTGCACCTACTTGGTGATAATTATCCTTTCAATGAATTGCTGGATTCAATTTGTTTATAATATGTAAGGGAATTTACATCTGTGTTCATACAGTATTGGTCTATAGTTTGTTTTTTGTAATACCTTGGTCTTATTTTGTTATCTAAGTGTTTAATTTTGACACCAAGAGTTCAGAGGAACACAAGGTGTGATCTTTTTTTCTTTTTTCTTTTTTTAGAGAGAGTGGAAGGGGGAGAAACAGAGACAGAAACACTGATGTGAGAGGGACACATCAATTGGTTGCCTCTAGCATGCACTCCAACCAGAGCTGGGGATTGAGCCTGCAACTGAGGTATGTGCCCTTGACTGGAATCAAACCCGGGACCCTTCAGTCCATGGGCCGATACTCTATCCACTGAGCCAAACCAGCTAGAGCAAGGCGTGATCTTGAAGTTCATTCCAATTTCAGTTAATTTTCTTTCCATGTATTCTTTAAATAACACTAAAACATTTTCTCTAAAATAAATATAGCCAGAAAACAAACTCTGTATTTCTTCATAAATGGTAAGCAGACAGCATTTCAGTTAGTTTATAAATGTCAACAATAAGAATTAAGTTTACTTTATATTTACCTTTTGTATGATCTATAATAATCTATAATAATAAAAGCATAGTATGCTAATTAGACCAGACAAACTTCCGGATGAAGCTGGGGCTGCGAGGGAACCCGAGTCCCAGGTGCCAGAGGGAAGCTGGTGCCAAGAGCTGGGGGAAGGAAGGCCTACACTTGCACGAATTTCGTGCATTGGGCCTCTAGTTATAAAATAATGCTCATGATAAAAACCAAATTATAATGTACTTGAAATAAAAGAAATTTAAAAAATCCCTTATCCTAACAATGGCATGGTTTTTTTCCCATTTTTTTCTATGCCCTTTAAGTATAGTGACTATGTATACTTCATTACTCAATTTTTCCCTTTACTTCTTATGAGTTTTTCCATGTTGTTAAAAACTTACAGCATTCTTGCCCTGGCTGGGTAGCTCAGTTGGTTAGAGCATCATCCCAATATGACATTTATGGGTTCAATCTCCAGTCAGGCCACATACAAGAAGCAACAATGAATAAATAAATGAGTGGAAAAACAAACTGATGTTTCTCTCTCGCTCTCTCTTTTTCTAAAACAGAAAACCGCATTCTTAAAACAATAACCAAAAACCTTAGCATTCTTTAAAAAAAATTCCTATGGTTGGCTAAAAAAATTTTTTCTTGCAGGAAACATTAAGTGAAAATCTTTGAATATTGAAAAATATCTGTCCTCATTTTGCAATACTTAGGTCACACAATAATGGGAAAAAGAAAACTGGGTCAAAAAGTATAAACTTTCTAAGCTCTTCATATAGTCTGCTAAATTGTTTTCCCATTAGATTATATCAAAATAATGAGAATGCCTGCTTCATCAAATTCTTACAACCACTGGGAATTCTCATTTTAAAAAGCAAAATAGCTTGACAGATTTTATACATATTTTAATTTTAATTTGCATTTCTTCTATTAGTACTGAGGCCAAATTAGCTATTTTTAAAAAATATATTTTATTGATTTTTTACAGAGAGGAAGGGAGAGAGATAGATAGTTAGAAACATTGAGGAGAGAGAAACATCGATCAGCTGCCTCCTGCACATCTCCCACCGGGGATGTGCCTGCAACCCAGGTACATGCCCTTGACCGGAATCGAACCTGGGACCTTTCAGTCCGCAGGCCGATGCTCTATCCACTGAGCCAAACCGGTTTCGGCTAAATTAGCTATTTTTCTTCCTCTATGAATTATCTCTTTATGTCCTAAAGTCCATTTTTAGAGATATTTCTGTTTTTCATATTGGTTGAACTGTTTATATATTAAAGTTGGCAATCCTCAATCTGCTTTATTAGTTTAATGTATTTTGTTGTGTTGCTGTTCATGTTTTAAAACAGTTAAGAATTAGTTCTAAATGACAACCAGAAATATTTCAAAAATTTAAATGGTGCAATTAAAAATATTGTTATGAAGCCCCTGGCTGGGTGGCTCAGTTGGCTGAAGCATCTTCCTGTGCACCAAAAAAAGTTGTAGGTTTGATTTCCAGTCAGTGCACATACCTAGATTAAAGGTTCAATCCCTAGCCAGGGTGTGTACGGAAGGCAACTGATCCATGTTTCTCTCTCATGTAGATCTCTCTCTCTCTCCCCCCACCTTCCTCTCTCTCTAAAATCAATAAACATACCCTGAGGTGAGAATTAAATTAATTTAAAACAAAAATACTATAATAAACTATTCCAAATATCTATCCTCTATCAGTTTTTCTAAATTATTATAGTTCAAATGTTGATAATGTAAATGAGTGGTTCTAAAAGGAAATTCCTGACAATAAATGAATACAACCTTGCTGTATTTACCAGATACACAAGAGAAATTAATATAATTTTAATTTTATTATTGATAACTGTAACATTAGCTACAGCTTTTTGAGCCCTTACCATCTATCTATTTTAGTTTGCCAGGCACTATACTACATACATTATGTATATATTATATTTTAAGCAATAGAATCTTATGACATATTTTTAATCCCCCCTCCCAACAGACGAGATAACTGAGCCTTAAACATAATCCCTTTGCCCAGCATAGTCACTAGAATGGTTGCCTCTTGCATGCACTCTATGTGCTCTTTGTGTTTTTTGGAAAGTAGTTCTATCGCAACCAGCACACTCAGAAATCACCTAACTTTAACACAACTGAAGAAAGAAAATATACAGAAGGAGAGTAAATTTTTTGTTTTCATTCTACAAATTATCAAAGGAAGTAATTTATGAGAAAAAAGCGTTATGTATAAAAATAAACAGATTATTTATGACAGTAGATGAATAAAAATAACTTAAAATCCAAAGGAAGATCTGTTAATGTTGCTGAACATTGCTGACACAAAGTATTTCTTTAGTATCTGACCAGACTGTGGTAAGCAGTTTCTCCGTAATAACGCATTTAATCCTCCCTAAAGCCCTGAGATAGTTATTATCTTCACTTCACAGATGAGGAAAGGTAAGCACAAAAAGTTTATTTGCCCATGATCACGTTAATTATTAAATGGCTGCGTCAGTACTTGAACCTACAACCTGGGCTCTGGACCATTAACTACCCTATAATGCCTCCCTATACAAATAAAACAATCAGTTTTAAATCATTAAAAATCATCATTCATTAGAAACAAAGAAAGGTGTTTCTAAAATGTTTAATCAAAAAAGGAAATAAAACTAAACACAAATGCTTGTTAATGAAATAAACATTTGTGCACATTAAATAAAGACTAAATGGAAGAGAAGTTAAGTAGTTGCTGAGATACATAGTTTGATTGCAGATATAAATTTAAAAACTTCTATTTATAGTATTTTGTTCATGGAGTAAATGATGTTTGTTGGTTCTCCATTTTCTTTTTTATTGATTTCAGAGAGGAAGGGAGGGAGAGAGAGAGATAGAAATATCAATGATGAGAGAATCATCAGCTGCCTCCTGCATGACCCTAACTGGGAATTGAGCCCCCAACCCAGGCATGTGCCCTGATGGGGAATTGAACAGTGATCTCCTAGTTCTTAAGTTGATGCTCAACCACACCAACCAGGCAGGTTCTCCATTTTTATAATCAAAGCACAGGAAACTTATTCATAGTTATAAAACATATATAAATGACATAAACCTTGGCAATCTAAAAACAATAGGACTTATATAAAATTATCTGGTAAGTAAAGGGCAACAAATAAGTATGTACCATTTGTAATATTTTCAAGTTGACTCCACAGATGTATTTTAAGATAGCATATTTACAGTTTTGTTTATGCTTTTCAACTACCACTGCAAAATTAATAGTAAATACTGAACACCAGTTGGGTTTTCCAATGGTTAGAGCATCACCTCGAGGACCAAAGGGTCCAGATTCGATTCCTGGTCAAGGGCATGTACCTGGGTTGCAGGCCTGATCTTGGGTCAGGGTTTGTGCAGGAAGCAACCAATCAATGTGTCTCTCTCACATCCATGTTGCTCTTTCTCTCCCGCAACTCTCCTTTCTACTCTCAAAAAAATCAATGGAAAAAATATCCCGGGGTGAGGATCAATAACAATAACAACAACAAAAAAGCCTGGATTCAATCTATTTAAAAAGATTTACTTTTACCCCCATGCCTCATGATAGCAGTGCAGATTTTAGTACACATAAGGGAGACTATCATTGAGTCAATCATTTACATACACATCTACATACATCTGAAAAATAGCAATATATTAAGGTTTTAGGTATGTAATCATCTCAGCCTACAGAAGTACATGATGCACATGTGAATTTAAGACTCTCTTCCAATAACTCTGCAGCCTGCCCCATGGATGGCCAGCCTAAAGGATAAAAGGAAGCCACTGATTTAGAAACTAAAGAAATCACATAAGAAAAACATAAAATAATGCTTAATATGAAGAACAAGTTAAGTATAAGTCACAGTTAACTGTTTCTTGCATTTTATGTTAGACTGCGGCCGTGTGATACATACACTCTTAAACCACATTCTCCTAAACCTCTCCAAATGAAACTTAAACTGGAATAAGCCTTAAAACAGAGAAACCTACCTAAACCTTTTAACTGTATTTTACTTGTCTTTTTGCAGGTGGTTTATACAACTGCCATTGTCTGGATTAAAGGGAATTACAAAAACAACCTTTTCTCTGATTAAAAGATAAAATATTAAAATGTATTATAATTATTGTGGGGGGGGAAATGAAAGAAATACATAACTTATAAAGTGATAAGCACCTACATTCCTACACCCATGGAGAGAATTACTATTTAGTTTGGAATCAAAGCCAATATTAAACATATCAGGAAGAGTCTAATTTAAATAAATTCTCTATTGAATTTTTTTTTTTTTGCAGAACATATTCATCTGCTGAATTACTAGTGTTGTAATCCTGTATTTTCATCTATTACCTCTGCTTAAAAGTAAGGTACACACTTTCCTTCTTTCTAGGTCCTCATTTTCAGGATGTTTTTATTTCTTTCACCCAATTAAATTTAAATCTGATTTTAACAATTACCCTATTGCAAATCTTTCATTTTTAAAAATTACCTTAATTGTAGCATCCTCTGAAGCAGAGACCATAACACTGAACACAGGGTGGAAAATGACTCGAGTGACTGGACTCCTATGACCACTCAATGCATATTTTTCTGGTGGACGGGGAATCCACTCTTTTGGGTCTCGTTTCTGACCAAGAGGCCCACCTGACGTAAATTCTTCTTTTGCTTCATTTAGTTTTGATTCTAATTCCATAACCTTGAAAATGAACACATAGTTATATATACAAATAGACTCCAATTTTATTTGATATTTTAAAAACTGCTTTTATTTTGTGTCTATATATGCAGAATACTTTAAAATTTTTCATTAATTTACAAAGCATTCATTTATTAAAAATTATCTTCATTATCTACCATCAAAATTTTAGTGATATAAAAACCAAAAATTAAGAAAAATTCAGTATAACTTTGTCTTAACTACTTAACTCAAAAATTTCAATTTATATCTACTATTTAGAGGAAGAGCAGTGCACCTGTGTTGGTCTCTCTATGTCTGTTACTCTTAGTAAACTCTTCCCAAACCAAGTTTACATTATACATGCTAGTAATATTTATAATAAAAGCCAACATTTATTTAATATCTATGTTTTAGATACTTTTCTAAGAGATTTTGATGCATTAATTCATTTTACAACAATTTATTCATTCATTCTAGCTTTGCCTACTAAAAATATAAATTTTAGGACCAGGATATTATTTATTGCCTTCACTTTACACATAAAAATAAAAGCTCAAAGCGTAACCAATGGACACAGATAGTAGGAGGGCAAGGGCATAAAGGAGACACGTAATACTTTAAACAATAAAGAGTTTAAATGTTGAAAAAAAAAAGCTCAGAGATAAAAATAACTTGTCTAAGTGCACATTTTAGTGTTCTTTTCTCAGCATCACATTGGCTCCATTAATTTTTCCCATCTAAACAAGATCAAGTTCTTAAGTATCAATTCCCTGAAGTCAGGTTTATGTAAATTCAACCCAGCCAGTACCCAGATTGCACGCGTTAGCATGAATCAGCTCTGATCTTTTTGGGTCAAAGTATTTTTTAATGCACAGAAAATATATTCCCTTTTGCCTTTTCAAGATTAAATATAATTATTAATTTTATGTTAATGTTTTCAGAAAGTTTATTTAAGAACATTCCAAATATAACCAACCAACTTTAAAGGAAAAACTTAGTTACCTTCTTTTGTAATCTAATAACAGATGTCCATTTTTTTTCCAAAAGACCAGCATATTTCTTATCTAATTCTTCATTCTAGAGGAAAAAATGAGAACCTTTTAAAAATGGCTCAATTATGATAGTTCAAGCCATTCAGACCATTTGTCCCTGAGTCTAACTAAATATTACTAAAAATCTTATTATACTAAAAAATGGTTGAAAACCAAGTTTAGTGCCACATAAATAACAAATGATAAGATCTGTGGATAACTGAGGTGTCTGTTAATTGCTGATACTTCAGTAAAATCCACTTATAATTGTAAGAAGTAAAACATACCATATCTAATTCAGCTTCTTTTTTAAAAACTGAATATGCTTCTTCATAACCATTTGAACGAAGATAATCTGCTATAGCCCGATTTCTGAAAGAAAACAAATTCAAATGACTCCAAAAAACACAAGTATTTCACAAAAAAGGGACCTGCTCCACCTAAGCCTCTAAAACATTTAGCTTTGTCAAAGTACAGCTTTAATAATATATGTACTATATTATTCTTGAGCTTTTTGCTTTAAGTTTCTAATGTGTTGCTTACCTTATAAGCTGTGGGCATTCTACAGAGGTCAAGATATGGCTTATATTAATAGGTATCAATTTGTAAGAGTAATCATCAATTTTATTCATGTTTACATTTAGCCTTCCCTTACTACTTGTTATAGACATTCAAGAACTAGCAACTGAAGTTTAGTTTTGCAGAAAGACTTGTTCTGATAAAATTATAATTAGTATTTTAATATTAGAGACATCTTTAAGCCATTCAGAGTGGGTGTGCCCTAGCCGGTGTGGTTCAGTGGTTAGCATGTCGGCCCACACACTGAAGAGTATGGGGTTCAATTCCTAATCAAGAGCACGTATCTGGGTTTCAGGGTCAATCTCCGGCCCCAGTTGGGGCACATGGGGGAGGCAACTGATCTATGTGTCTCTCACATCAATGTTTCTCTATCTCTTACTCTCCCCTCCCTTCCATTCTGTCTAAAAAAAAAATCAATGAATAAAATATCCCCAGGTGAGGATTAACAAAACAAAAAAAAGGAGTGGGTGAAAAAAAGAGCGAAGCTATAAACTTAGACTAAAATATCATAGACTAAAAACATTCATTAAGAAAGAAATTGAAGCTGAATTAGCAGATGCCTTTTCAAGCTCTCCTTATATTCCTTCAAAGAGAAAATCAGCTACCTCCCTCCTAAGACAACCTACTCCTCTATCAATTTTTGAGCCTTAAGTCCACTGTAATATAATAGTTGCTTGGGATTTCCTTTAAAGCAATCTAAATAATTTAAAAAACTAATCTTCTTATATAATAAAAGGCAAATATACAAATCAACAGAACCATGGAACCACCCGACGCTATGAGACACACTGACCACCAGGGGGCATACGATCAACACAGGAGCTGTCCCCTGGTGGTCAGTGAGCTCCCACAGGGGGAGCACTGCTCAGCCAGAAGCCAGGCTCACAGCTGGCGAGCACAGCAGCAGTAGTGGGAGCCTTTCCCTCCCCTGCAGCAGTACTAACGATGTCCGACTGACAGCTTAGACCGTCTGACTGACAGCTTAGGCCAGCTCCGCGCAGGAAGTGGGCCTAAGCAGTCAGTCAGACATCCCCCGAGGGCTCCCAGACTGCATGAGCGCTGAAGGACCGCCCCCCATGAGTGCATGAATTTCATGCACCAGGCCACTATTATGTATGTATATGTGTGTGCGTATATATATTTAAACAAATTTTACATAAGCATTCTTTCCACCATTGACCCCCAATATTCCATCCCTGAGGCAATTACTTTACCAGTGTTTTGTGTTTCCTTTCTGAGATAACCCACCTATTAACACACATCCCTGAGCAGTCTTTTAGAGATAATCAATACTTGTTTTTAAAACAAACTGCAGTACATTTCATACTAGTGTGTCTTACAATGTTATATAAACTCACTTAATCTTAGCAATCATTCTGTTTTTAATCCTCGCCCAAGGATATGCTTTTATTGACTTTAGAGAGAGGAAAGGAGAGAGGGGGAGAGGGAGAGAGAAACAAACACTGATGTGAGAAACACATCGATCGGATGCCTTTTGTATGCACCCTGACAAAGCCAGGGATTGACCCCCAGGCCCTTTGGTGTGTGGGGTAATGCTCTAACCACTACAGGACAGGGCTCACCGACTGTTAATGGCTTGAAGATATCTCTAAAAACTGCAACCTGGGTATGTGCCATGACCAGGAATTGAACCCAAGACCCTTTGGTATGGGATGATGCTCCAACCAAAAGCCACACTGGTCAGTGTAGCAATCATTCTTTATCAAATGTAAAGCCTTCTTCTATATTATACTCCACTATGGAAACATGCACTTACTACTACAAACAATGCTGCTATGACCACCCTTGTATAAATAAATGTAAATGCCATCGCCACCTAATGCTTTAGGAAATAAAAACACTCTAGTAATATAGAATTGCTAAGTTTTAATTCAATGGCATGTTAAAAACAAAAATAAAAAAGTGAATAAAGATAACAGGAAATTATCTTTCTTTATGTTCCATAACAATGATTAAAGCACAATAACTACCTGACCAGTTTGGCTCAGTGGCTAGAGCGTCGGCCTGTGGACTGGAGAGTTCCAGGTTCGATTCTGGTTGTGGGCATGTACCCAGTAGGGGGTGTACAGGAGGCAGCTGATCGATGTTTCTCTCTCATGGATGTTTCTAACTCTCTATCCCTCTCCCTTCCTCTCTGTAAAAAATCAGTAAAATATATTTAAAAAAAAAAGCACAACAACTAGTGGAAGACAAGGTCAGCACATCATATTCCTGGATAAGGGAGCTGAGGAAATGTAAATTCTTACTATTATTGTGAGTCTATGCCTATGTGCTGCTCATGTCACAGCCTATGCCTTCTGGCCTACTCCACTAAGATCATTTGATTCATTAAGAAATATCTTCTTTACACAGAGCTGAGATCTACTTCTTAATTTCTACCAGGTAGTTAGGTCTACTTGGGCCTTCTAAAACAAAACAGGAATGCAAGGTTTTCTCAAAACATTCCATCAAATATTGTGTTGCCAAAACCTGTATTACAAACCTTAAACAAAAATACATTTCCTATTGGTTAGAATATTCCAAATAATAAGGGAAACAAGTGACATCTATCTCTTAGCTTTATTTTATTCATCTAAAAAACCAACAGCAAGCAATTAAGGGCAAAATGTCAAGGGTAAACAAACCTTATATGGTACTTGTAAATATTTACAAGCTCCTTAGCTCTACTCCTACCTTCAGGGTCAATCAAGCCCTAATGCCTGAAACTTTGCCTCAACACACTGCACACAGTTTACAACTCTGAAGCTCATATAACAGGTAATATGAAGATGTTACATATGCACAAATTATAGCAATTATAATCTTAATGGGCTTTAAAAAAAAATATTTTTTTGCCCTGGTCCAGTAGCATAGTTGGTTGGAGCTTCATCCTGTAAACTTAAAGGTTTTGGATTCGATCCCCATTTGGGCATTTGTGGAAGGTAACCAACCAATCAATGTTTCTCTCTTATATCAATGTTTCTCTCTCTCTCTTGCTCTCTCCCGTCCTCTCTATCTAAAAATCAATAAAAGATAACCAGGTGAGGATTTTAAAAAAAAATTCTATACTTTGAAATTGCCACTGCTAACCTCTTTCAGCACTGCCTTCTCATGCCATGTTCTATGTCCATTATGTCCATATCACCATGTATGCGCATGTACAGCTTTTTAAAAAAATGCTCTTATTTATTTTAGAGAGAAACATCTATGTCTCTCTCCCTTTCTACCCCCATTTCCTCACCCTCCCCCCCAAAAAAATCCTCTGGTGAGGATTAACAACCACAATAAAAGAAGTATCCAAGCAATCTGGCTACTAAGAGGTTCCTGTTGAATTTAACAAGTACATTTCCAGAACTTAAAGAAGCCTCAGTATTCCATTCCACAGTAAGGTTTCCAATGAGCACCGCAAAATATTGGAGTTGGGAAGGTGCAGCTGGAAAGTTCCAGTAAAGATGGCGGCATAGCACTGACCCGGTGGCTCAGTCGGTTGGAGTATCATCCCATGCACCAAAAGGTTGCAGGTTTGATTCCCAGTTAGGGCATATACATAGGTTGTGGGTTCAATCCCCAATTAGGGCGCATATGGGAGGCAACTGATCTATGTTTTTCCTCTCACACTGATGTTTCTCTCTCTCTGAAGTTAATAAAAACATATTTTCAGGTGAGGATTAAAACACACACACACACCAAGAAACAATGGAGGTGTAGGTAAACACCCTGCTCAGAACCTACCACCACCACATCAAAATTACAACTAAATTACAGAACTGACACCCTTTAGAATGCTTGAAATCTAGCTGAACAGAAGTCCTATAATAAAGGATATAAAAAAGAAGCCACATGGAGACTGGTAGAGACTGGTAGGAAGGGTGGAGACTCAGAAAGGGTTGTTGGCCCTACACCTATGTGTGGAGTTTCAAAAGGGAGAGCGCCCTGGCCAAGTAGCTCAGTTGGTTAGAGCATCCTCCAGATCAGTGGTCGCCAACCGGTGGTCCGCAGATCACAGGTGGTTTGTGAGGTCCGAAAGGTTGGCGACTGCTGCTCCAGATGAACCAAGGTTGTGGGTTCAAACTCTGGCCAGGGCACATACAAAAGAAGCAATCAATGAATGTATAAATAAGTGGAACAAATCGACTTCCTCTCTCTCAAAAATCAATAAATAAAATTGCCTGTGCACTGAGTTACTCGGACTCACTCTGAATTCCAGCACAAGGGCAGCAGCTGGAAAAGAGCCAGGGACATATGGGAAGGACCTGAATTGTCTGGCTTTAGGACAAGGGCTAGAGGGGAAGCTTTCTCTCAGACAGAAGTGTTGGCAGAGGACATTGTTCCTTTGTTGAACACCCTCCCCCCAAGAGCATCAACCTGGCCAACACTGCTCTCCCGCCCTTGTGAATCTCTGAGATCTAACTTGTGGGCCCACCCAAGCTGTTTCCAATGGCTTTTCCATACAAATGGCCTCTCTTGCTTGGCTCATGCTTCTGACTTTCCTAAAATCTTTCAAACAAGCAGCATCTGGCCTCAGCATGACCCATACCTCTGGCTAAGTGGCTCCAGGCCTGGCACTAGTGGCAGCCAGTTTTGATTCATAGCTTGGCCTCTCCTGGGCACTTCTAAACCCAGCACAAGTAGCAGCCATCTGCAGATCACCAGGTGGCCCAGGGCAGAGCACAGATGGTGGCTGACCTTGCACCCTCTGGAAGGCCCCCAATGCCAGTACACTTGATGGACAACTTCAGACCACACCGGATTATAACCCAACCACCTCCATGAGCAACACATTCAAGGGGTGA